ATAAAGAAACAGTGACTGGGGTTTGTGCTCTAAAGAACCTCCTCATGTTCCCCTGCATCCAGGGTGTGCTACAGGACTCCTGTTTATCTTTAGCCTAGGCTTCTTTCCACTCATTTTATTAATTACAGGTCTACCAGGAAACCCTTGGGAACAGGACAGCTGCAAAGCAAAGAATAAGGAAATCAACACTACATACTTGTTTGCATTGTTCACAGCCACTGATCTGCCATTTGGAATCAAATCTACATCTGCATTGTCCCAGGATATCTGAAAATCAATGTAAAAATTGATAGGTTGGATCCTACTGGCTTATCTGCTGGTGCAGGAGAGAGGAAGGACCCCTTCTTTTTGACCCCTGAAAAAAGCTGTCAGGGATTGTGGGACCTGCACGGACAAAAAAGCCATGCAGGACACAGAGGTTGCAGTGAGGAAGGGGATTCCAGTTGAGCAAGCAGAGAAGATGGCGGGATCAAAACCCATGAAAACCAAGCCAACAAAAACTCAAACTCAAATCTGGGCCATCCAGTCCAACAGCCCAGAGTCTATGCAGGGAACCCAAACCTAGAGCCCCTCTGACAGATGGCTTTTCAGATTCTACTTGAAGACCTTATCTCTAGTGAATGAGAGCCCAAACTCCCCATAGGTAACTGACTTCACTGATTAACTGTTCTGTTAAATTCTTCCCTAATGTTTATCTGAACGATACCATCCTGTAAGTTTGGTGTAATGATTAGGAATCTGGACTCTAATCTGGGAGAACCGGGCTTGATTCCCCACGCCTCCTCCACATGCAGCCACTGGAATGACCTTGGATCAGTTACAAGTTCTCGAGAGAGCTCTCTCAGCCCCACCTACCTCACAGGGTGTGTGTTGTGGGGAGAGGAAGGGAAAGGAGATTGTAAGCCGCTCTGAGACTCCTTCGGGTAGTGAAGGGCGGGGTATAAATCCAATCTCCTCCTCCCCCTCCTTCTTCTAATTCACAACCCTTAGGTCTACTCTTGCCCCCTGGATCACCAGAGAACAAGCCTTTGCCTGCTTCCATGGTGACTATCTTCCAGGTATTTTGAAGAGCATGATGAGTACCATGACACACACCCTCATCCCCATCTCTGAAGGCCATCACAATTAAGATACATGCAACAGGCTAATGAACAGGAACAGCCGGAACCAATAGGACCAAATGCATGTTAGTAGCTGGCTGGCTGCTCTTCCACAAAAATGCTGAAAGGTCACCAAAGGAAGCTGCATGGTGCCAGTGGAACAGGCATGCCAATCGAGATACTCACATTATAACACAGCTGAAGTTCTGCTTCCATATCATCCTCTTCATAATCAAGAACTGCCTGCAAACTCCTTATTAATGAGGGGGGGAAAAGCAGGTAAATAGTGTTTCCTAAGCAATTACAACATAACATTGAGCAATGGTATTAAATGGTGTGGCCAGCCAATCTACCCCCATCTGTTGCATTGGAGGTCAAGCCCCCGTCTTCACTGCTCACAGTGGCTGCTGGTAAGCTGGCTGCCATATTTCATTCCAAAACAGGGCAGCTGGAAGCTGGGCTCTGGCAGCAACCACTTGTGAGCAGAAGAGCAGGTGTTAATGGTGACGGGGAACACCAGTAGTTTGGAATGCAGATTCAGTGATTTCTTTTCTCATGTGCATGGAAAAATGCATTACATTCTGGAGCTCAGTCCAGAAAAGCTCAACTTACTTTCCCAAGACTGGGTTCAGTTCTTTCAGGTCATCGAGGGAGGGCTTCTGGTCCATCAGTTTTTTAAAGACAGCAAGCGGGAAAGGTACATTGGCCATGACCTTATTGTAGAGGCACATCCCAAAGAGGACCCCAAAGAGGTAATACCTTTTCATCTCAGCTGAAGGCTGCAATTAAGGAAAACATGAGATCACAGTATACTCCTGGGCACCAGCTGCTTTCCTCAGACAGCCTTCCCCTGGTGGTACCCTTGCCTAGGATTGTCCATCTGCACACAGTTAGGTCAAGGCATTCTCTGTGGTAGATGCCTTCTACTGGAGTGGCCTGTCAGAGTGTAAGACGGTTTCATTCCAGAGGGCATTGTGCGCAGGGTGAGCTGTCTGGGCAGATTTGGCTGCATTATACCTGTGCTTTTAATGTTGGGCATTGTTTTTAACATGTTGCTAGATGCGTCTGATGTTTTTGTGACCCTGGAGCTTTTGCCATTTTGTTAGCTGATGTGAGTCTGAGGAGATAAAAGCAACACTGATGCTCAAGCAACACCATAAGCCAAGCGTCTAATAACAAAAGTTACTAGACGCCTGGCTTATGGTGTTACTTGAACAGCCACTGGCTCCTCTCTTGTAATGTTTAAAGCCCACTTCAAGCATGTAAGCTGGGCAGGCCAGGCCAGGCCATTGATGCTACTACAGCCTG